GATGTTGCAGCTGAGTGCTATAACAGCAAATAAAACTTGTAAAAAGGAGGGGGAGGGTGCTAGGCCCGTCACCCGATCAGCTCTCCTGCACTCATGGAGTCCTCTCTCCAGGAACCACAGGCACAGTAATGCAGTTTGCATTTTATGAATGGGCTTTAAAAGGCTGACCGTGGGGTTGAGTAGTACTGTGGGATAAAAAGGAAGCACAGTGATACCTGTGCTGTTCTAGATCGACCCCTTCGTGCCTTAATGGGATGTCACAGGCTCTACACCATGCCTTTCATTTTAGGAATGGTATGCAAAATGCAGGCACAGTGTAAACATCACATTGTCAAGCAAATGCAATATCCTTTGCCCTTGCTGGTCCAGAGAATGAGGGAGAGCTACTATCAAAGGGGATGAGTGGTTTGTTTGCTCTCCTCACAATTCTGTCACCGATGAGTTGCTTTCAGCGACAGGATCACTAGTGTGACGAGAGAGAGAATATATATGAATATGCGAGAATATGCCGATTGTAATCTAGAGTTAGAGGCTGCCCTGTCAGCTGCCTGACCTCCTGTGGAGAGCACACAGTTTCCACATACGAAATAACAGAGCCCTGTAGTTGTTTGTTACTCGTAACTTGGACCTCTATTATGTGATACTGTTCTGCACACTCAGGAGGTATCCTATATTATCAGCATGAAGTGTGAGCATCATTGGACAGCTCACTTCTATCTTGGAGGGCCTGGTGCCATCCTCTATATTTCATGTTTACCACTTTCCCTCTTACCACTTGCACTCTGAATTAGCTTTCTGATCTTCAGAAAACAGCGCTGCTTTAAAGTCCTGGTACCAGACATATTTTCTCATGTCTGCCTCCTGAGTAATGTGCAAGTGTAACACCTCTCAGATCATATCCCTCTGACAGTACCTTTTATCTCTTTTTTTTTTTCTTCTCCTCCATAAAAGGATGGCACCACCTATATTCATGCATTATGCAGGATCTGCATATACTGTGTGGACTGAAGTGCCAGCTCAGAGATGACAGTATTCGTAAATCCTGGTGCCTGTACAGTCTTTTGCTGCATTCACAGATAATGGACAGAGATCAGCCTCTTGCCCCGCCTTGCACTCTTGTGAGTTGCTACAAAGTCACAGTATACATTCTAAATTAGAAGGGGAGAGGAGATTCCTCCTGATCTAAAAAGAAAAATCTGCAACAGATATAATGATGGCAACATTCATTTTAAGAGGAAATGATAAACGGCAACAGCTATGAAGTAAAGCAGCCTCCCAAGTTCTCCCCATATGACTGAGCGCTAGGCTGTTCTGACAGGTAAAGCTTGACATTTCTGAGTAGTGTTGGGGTCTACGTGTTTTCTTTAGAAGTTACTTTTAAACTAATCGCATAATAAAGAAAATGCATAAGCTGGGGTTATCTAGGGTAAAAACAGCAAGAATTCGGTTCATCACTGCATACCATTCGTGTCTAATAAATCGTACGTGTACACATCAGAACGTTGTCATTCCAACTGATTGTTTGGTGTCTGCACTTTAAAGTTCTTCATAAATGCTGTAGTGTTAATTATTCTTCCTTTATTTTTCAGCAATGCACCGCTTGCTTTTTCCTCCAAAGTATGTTATATTAAGTATCGTGAGCCATCGAGCGTTGGTGTGGCCCAGCATCTAACAAACACAGTTTTTATTGACAGAGCTCTCATAGTAGTACCCTGTGCAGAAGGTTAGTATTCATTACCCTTTCAGTCCCCTTAATCTAATGATATATGTTCTATTAATGTTCTATTCATTGTTCTATTTCTTGGTTAGTTTGATCTTTTTTTTTCTTTTCTTTCCAAATGACATTGTACTTTTCCACTATGAAATGTTCTGAGTAATGGCTTTGTGTGCTTTCTCTACTGGTGGTTCCTAATAAGTAGGTACAGTTGGCGTACATCTCTAGTATCACCCATCAGTGATGTCAGCCACACAAAGATTTCATGTTAAATTTGATATATTAGATACATCACATTTACCAAGCACTGTGTAGTATTAGGATCTTCCTGGCTGGATACAATGTGAATTTTGACAGATTAAATTTGTGTAAAAAAAACAAAACACACACCAAAATTTGCATTTGGCTTTAGCAACATACCCCCTGATAGGTCAACATGTCATTAATAAAAAATAGTTGTCATTTCTCCGCAGTGCCTGTCAACAAAAATGACAGTTGGAATCTACCATTATAATTTCGGGTTCTGGGGAAATGAACGCCAGACCCATAGAGAGCCATAAAGTCTGCCTTACAAAATCTTTGTCTGTGACCATTATGAGAGTACCGCATGGCCTGAGGTTTTCTAAGTCTGATGGGTAAAATTAGTCTTTTTATTTTGTTACCAGTGTGTCTGAATAAATACCCGCTACAAATGGGTAATGGTCACGGCCTCTATTTAGTTCTCCCATTGATGTAAGGACGTGAGGCCAGTTCTTCTATCATACACTTTGATAGATTGGACTCAGAATGAACTCTAAGATGAGCAAATGCAAAATATTTATCTCTTGCAACTTTCTTTATTGTATCTTCTTTCACAATGTCATTTTTTGTTTGTTGCTGTTAATATTTTATTCCTCTTTGCTCTTTTTGGCTTTTTTTTTTATGTTTATTTTTTCTAATTGCTTCTAATGTTAGCATGTGCAGAGCAGTCATAGAACACCTTAACCAGTTCCTAATACTGCCATGCTAGACCTTACTGGCTGAAATCTGTTGTGACTGTGTATCAATATCAGACCATTAAAGGCAGTAAGAGGCTTAGCTCTAATCTCTTAAGGGCAGCACGATGGAAACACGTTTGTAATATATTCGTGAAGCAAGCTCGCACAAACATGGTGTGTGGTCCAGGCTGATTTTGCAGCTTGTGTCCTGACAAGTTTATGGATAGCCCACATGTAGGAATTGTTACCACTGATCAGCATTACATTGAAAGGGAGAAAGTGTTTGTCCTTGTGTGAGGTCTCCTGGTTCCAGCCTTCTCTCTTTGCTCCTGCATAGGGCGATGGACACTGGTAAGCCCCAGATGCAAGTGCGTGTCAATAAGAAGGGGAAAACCCGAACCCACTTTTACCAAGGTAGCTCTGCATGTGACCAATGTCGTTTTTAGTGTTGAAGGGGTAGAACCTCTGTCAGGACTTTATTGCCTTCTGTTAACCTGTGACAGGGGTAGGCAAACTCTGGCCCTCCAGCTGTGGTAAAACTCATCATACACCTGTCTCTGGAAGTCATGCTGTCAGTCTTGCCATGCCTCATGGCTTTTGTAATTGTGCTGCAGCTGGAGGCCTGTAGTTTGCCTACCCTGCCCCATGAGGATCCCTCACTTCCTATCCAGGTAACAGGTTTCAAAACAGTAAGAGAATGAAATCTCTTCTATGTAGTCACAGACAGCAGTTAGGGCTGCATTCACATGGAGCTTTTATCTGTGTTTGGGGATTCTCGTAACAGGAATCCCAGGTGTACCCATTCAAGTTTGGATAGATGATTGTCCCTGGCTGCAGGATGTATGTATCTAGTGACAATCTTCTACCCGAAACCATGAGTAATCATACCATGTGTGATTTTATGTGGATTTCCACTGACAGATGCGGTTGCTGCTACCCTGTCATTAACTTGAATGGGTACGGGTAGGCAAGAACTTATGGATTCTTGTGGCAGGAACCCTTACATTCATATAAAAGCCACAGCCTATACAAGGTTTAACCCTTTCCACCACAGGCAAAATGAAAGAAAACATTTTGGCTGGAGTTGGGCAATAATGATCAATTAAATTGATATTTAAAAGGATTTCATTCAGTGAGTAAAGTTCTCCTTTTAGTTCTGGAATCACTGAGGTAACCATCTAGCAGTGAGTAATGTGTAAGTGATAATCTGTAATGATACTAAGGCTCCATTCACACTAGAGCGGCTGTCCGCGCTTATTCGGCTGTACGAATATGCGCAGAGCCACTCTAAACAGAGAAAACAATGTACTTTCATGTGCATTGTTCAGACTATTGCGGGGACCGCGCGGCCCCACATTAGTGCAAGCAGCGGATTCCGCACGTCCGCGGCTATATAATAACCAGCGTTTTTGTTCCGCACAGAATACCGTGCGGGAAATGCAATCGTATGTGAATGGAGCCTAAGAGATCTTTGAAATAATTTATAGCTGTAAGAGTTCAGATGGCTACAAAGAAGAGAACACAGGATATATAAGGAAGGCTGCCGTGTATCCTAGGTATAGAATACAGGGTTTAGGCTACATGCTTTCATGAATGGCATGTTTTTGATGGAACTGCACCAGAGCTGTGAAAAATACAATGTGCTATTATTTATTTTGTTACTACCAGAAACTGAGAGAGTATTCCTGATTCCTTTTGTCTCAGTAGTGAATGAGCATATAAATAAAGGACTTGTGGGTAGGATTAGAAAGTGCTGGAAGACTTGTGTAGAAAATTCCCCTAAATGTCCTAAAAAGCATGAGGGGGATCAGCGATTTGTCAAGCCGATGAAAGGAGGATGCTAATCTGCTCACCTGACTCCCATCTGATCTGCTGTCCTGTCATTTGTTATAACTGGCAGAGAGTTCAGGAAGAAAAGCTTTTCCTAGCAAGTTTCCTGGCATGGCACACCTTTGTTTAGGGCTCTCTGGTATGTAGCCATAAAATGGTAAACCTGGTTTAAATCAAGCTAAATTTTTCAGGTAATGCGAGTTCATCTGCAGTAAGAAAACCCAGATATCATTGCAGAGATATCAATACCCAGCTCTATCATTACAGAGGGTAGGTTTCTCGAAGAGCGCGAAGCAATTATAGCTACCCAAACACATCAGAGCTTATTGTTTACTTTAAAAACACGACTGCTTTATTCTGCTAATGGATTCTGTCTTTCCACAATGGAATTCTCTTTAATTGTTGCATTGTTTTTTAGTGTTACTATTATCTAGTGTCTGGTTAATGCCTTTTAATGTTTTCCTGGATAGTGTTGCCTGCCCAGTATAGAATGTCCTATACTCCTCAGCGTCATCTATTATTATTATTATTATTATACAGGATTTATATAGCGCCAATAGTTTGCACAGCGCTTTACAATATAAGGAAGACGTTACAGTCACAATACAATTTAAGACAAGATGGTAAGGAGGGCCCTGTCCCTGAGGGCTTACAATCTAAAAGGGAGGGGTGATAGTGCAGTGCAAGTGGTGTGGGCTGGGTGGAACACTTATAAATTGGCCCCTTAATGTAATATTGAAATGAACAATTCCCCTTATAGTCTACTTCTACCCGAGAAGTAAAAATGAATTTTTGATTGAGATTTGTTGTGTTCTGTGGTAAATCTAGGACTAAATGTCCTACTCGGCCATACCGTTCTGATTTTAATCAAAAGCTTCCCCCTTGACTAGTAAAGATTGAGATACTGTGGTGGGCTTGGGTGGGGGATTCTGACTTGGCATGGAACCTTCAGGCCTGGATTTCTTCTGCCCAACTGTCAAGGTAACGTATTGTAACCCACCCTTTGCCACTCTGGGGTGTTATTTGGCATAATAGCAAAATGCATGTGGAGATACCAATCGTTTTCTATAAATGCCTTAGAAAAAGTCTAAAATGTTTCAAGCTCTTAGAGTAAATCCGACAAAAGAAACTCTGACCCGGTCTGGAGTGCATTGTCTGTCTTTTTTTTTAATTCATTTAAATGTCTTGCCGTTGCAGCTGGAAAAAAATTCTAATGTACACTGGTAATGTCATAGTGTCTTTAAGCTACTGCCATAAGTGTGAATTGCTGCTTCAAATGTGCACCTGATTCATAGGCAATGTTTGGTTTGCAATACAAACTAATCAGAACAACTCTAAACATTCATTTTCTTTTATGTCCATATTTCAAAGTAGATGGATTTTAACAATTTGGTTTTGTATGTTTTTTTTTTTTTTTTTTCTTTTCTTTGTGTGATTATATGTGCATTATTAGATGACTAGCCTGGCCAAGGCAGACCTGTTACACATGCCTGAGTAGGGCACTGTTTGCCATGCCACTAAACCTGCCGTCAAAGGGAACCTTCATGTGAGGATGAGCTCGGAGTCTGACTACCGAAGATGGACGCCTTGTCTCTGTGTTTTTTTGTTTTTGTGTTTTTTTGTTTTGTTCTTTTCCTTTTTCTTTTGTTTCTCCCAATTTTTATTTTATGTACTACTTTCCATACTTCCTCCTCTTTCCCTATGCATTTATAAGTAGGTGTTATTACCTGGATGTCTACGTTTTATTGAATGATCAGCAAGTCTTGCTTTCACTTAAAAAAAGAAATCACTGTACAGGTAGTAATATTACAATGCCTCACGCTCTAACATCTCTTATAGAATTGGGAATAGTTTTGTTTTTTTCTCTCTCGTAGTTTTCCATGTTAATGTGAGTGTGCTTACCCTCTTACTCTGGTGTCCTGTAAATTTTTTCCCTTTTTGTCTGTATACACAATTTATGGCTTTTACTACAGCAAGTAGCAAAATATAATCTGTCCTAGAACAGCTACAACTCATTAAATCAAAGGCTTGACCAACCTCGGGGGTTGCGGTTTCCCACCACCATTGCTTCTAACTTGTGTTTGGTTGGTTTATAGTTTGACACACTTAATTCAAGAGGATCTTTAGTCATATTTTTAAAATGACAACAAAGACACCTTTATAAATGTTTAGTAATGACAATCTACAAACACATACTTCTAG